CTCCCAGAATTCCCCAGCCAGCATTCGCTGGCTGGGGAATTCTGGGAGTTGAAGTCCAGACGTCTTCAAGTTGCCAAGGTTGAGAAACACTGCATTAAGGTTTTACAATGCTATGACTTTGGACAGGGTTTGCGGTATGTTTTGCTTAAGTCAAGGGTGTCAAACTCCGCAAATTGGATGCATCATGTGTAGGCCACACCCACCTCAGCTCCGCAAAGGCAAACATGAGTTTGACATCCGTGGTCTAAGTTTTATTTATTTTTTTAATGTCTCCACATGCCATGCTTAGCTGCTGCATTGCTAACTTTTTTTCCCTCGTCTGCTTGTGACTTCATTAACCACAACTTTCACAACAGCCAGTCAATGACATCAGTGACTAAACGTTGATTAAAACAACACAGGGAGCACTCCCTCTGACCAGAGAGAGAACAGCTCAATACAGCCATCACTTAACCAAAAGGAATTGCACGTCCACATTGCTGGAACACGGTTACTTTCTACGCTGACCTTGATAGGACACTCAGTGTTCATTCAAAGTCAGCAGGTGGGTGAAAAGAGGTGTGCTTTCTAACCCGAAATCACCATGCTGGCAAAAGAAGACCAATATATGGTAAATTTCAATAACTACTCAATGTTAATAGTCTGTTGCATTTGGTCTGCAGGAATTGAATTGCTTGAAACCCTTATGCGCCAGATTAATACACCAACGACGTTGCCCAACAGAAAATACTAATCCTGCAAGCCACCCCTTGATTCTACTGCAAACATGTCAGTGAAGTGAACCTGAACTAGTGAGATTACTGTGTTTTGAGAGACACAAACACACTCAAAAGAACACAACCAGCCACGTACCCAGCCTCCATTGTCCTGGATCCAATTGTGAAGGTGCCCGTTCATGTACTCGGTCATCCATTCGGCGATGCTGTCCACCAGAGGGGACATCTCCCGGCTGGCACTCTCCACGCACAGCATGCCACCAAATTCAAAGAATGCCACAATCCTTCCCCAATTCACTCCGTCCCGGAACAGCTCTTCCACGACAGCCATGAAATGACTTCTGGCAGTAACCGGAGTCAGGTGGAGTTGACCAGACATCTGGGTGAAATCCCTCTGATACCTTCGGGAAAACTCATCGCCAGCTTGGCATAGCGTGGAATAAACAACTTGGGGTACAGGGTGTTCTTCGGTGGCAGCCAAGTTGCCCACAGCAGCAGAAGGCAAAGGCACCAGCCCTCCGAGGGCAGGGAAGGTCCCGACAGCAGAAGAAACATTTTCTCTGTCTCCGCTGGAAGCCCAGTTATATCCTTTCTGCGACAGCTTGTAATGGATGTACCTTAGCACTATCTCTCGGTTACTGTAATCTCTTATCCCAGGGTGAGCCATCATTTACGACAGAAGCGCCGGGAGGGGAATATATAGAAAGGCGAAATGTCCCCCTCCCAGCCCCCCAAAAATTAAAGCAGCCAGTAATAGTAAGGTACCAGTGTTATATGGAATCCAGTTGCTCTGTTGCGTTTAGTTCCATTTGTGGAGGTGGGGTGAAGTCCTTAGATCTCAAATATATCTCTGTCTTCCCAGGGTCTCTCTTCTTTCCTATATGATAAGGGATGGGGACCAGGTTTAAAACGAAGCCAATATTGTATTCCACGTGTAATGTTTATTGCAAAATTGACGCTCAGGATCCTTCCTTCCTTTGGGTTGAAATACATCTAAAAAGAGAGAGAAAAAAAGAAAATCAAATACCTTTTTTTCCCCAAAAAATCAGGTGTTTTCCCCCCACCCTCCATTCTAGATGCTGATCTAGAATAGGGAAGAAGATGCTGGGCGTGCATTTCGATTCTCCTCCCGCCCCCCACCCCCCTTTCAAAATGATTTACAGATTAGAGCAGTTGCCAATGCAAATTCATGTAAAGCACGTTTACAACAAAACTCTTTCATTTTATTTTTTTTTCCCCATGAAGAAAAGTTAACCCAAAGTAAATTCCGTGTAGAAAAGACTTACTTGAATCGGGAAATGTTCTCTCCTGTCCAAGGTCCTTACAGGGGGGGGGGGGGAAGCAAATAAAAAAAAAAACTTCACAGGTTGCTTAAAATATTAAACACAAGGATTTTTTTTTTAAATGATGATTCCAAAAAAAAAAATTGGGGGGGGGGGAAATAAAGAAGCAAAAGAGGCCTTTTCAGCTCCTGTTGAATTAGTTTTGATTCCCAAAAAATATTTCTGTTCGGATTACATTCCCAAAGATGTGTCAAGAGCTCCCAAAAATCCTGGTTCTGAAACTTCAGAAAAGGAGACCAAGCCAAAACAGAGGCAGCAGGGGGTGGGGGTTGTTAACTGTTTAACTGTTTATTAAAAAATAAAAAATAAATTGAAAAATAAATTCTGAAAAGCATCAGAGCAATGCATTTATTTTGTTTTTTGCAGTTCAAGCTCTGGGATTAAGCTGCAGCTCCAGTGCCAATAGACTCTTTTCACCCCCAACGTAGCTTCCTGCAGACCAGGGATCTTGAACCCAGTGCCCTTAAACCACCGCCACCCATCATCCTCATCCTCTCCAAGGATGCCACCCACGCCCCCTCCCCTTCTCCCCCTGCTTAACTCCAGGAGACAGACAGGCAGATGGACAGAGCCCCATCCATCATTGGGAAGGGAGCCAAAGTAAAGTAGCAGGCAATTTGCAAAAAAAATATAAAAGGGTGCCTGAAATATGAATTGATCCTAATTGTTCCCCCTCCTCCTCTTCCTCCTCCCCCTCCTCTCCCCCCCACCACCCTCCCTCCTCCCCGCTGCCCTTGGTACCCCGGGCAGCTCCGCCAAGCTTCCTCGTCGCCAGGCGCCTCCTCCTCCTCCTCCTTCTCCGGCGGCGGCTCCAGATTGGATGCGCTGCGCTCGGCGCGGAGGCTCCAGCTGCCGACGGGGAGGTCTCGGCGGCGGGGGAAGGCATCGTCAATGCGGCCGCACGCGGGGTGGAGGGAGAGAGGGAGGAGACGGAGGAGGAGGAGGGGAGCTCCCAGCCGCTCCGGGCTCGGCAAATGGGGCAGCCGCTCCTCCTAGCCCCACCTCGCTCTCCATTCAAGAAAAGGGGAGGGGAAGGCGCAGATGGGAGGGAGGGAGGGCGGCTTTCCCGCCGCTGCAGCCCCGGACGAGGCTCGCCCGCTTGCGCGGCTGGCCTGCCTTATCCTCGACCTTGGGATCGCGCGCTTCTCCTGCGGGGCGCCAGGCTCCGATGGCCCTGGCAGGGTGGGGGTGGGTGGGGTGGGCTTGGAGGGGTCCTCGACTGGGAAGGGTGGAAGGCAGGACGTCCCCCTGGGCTGCCTTGCATTCATGTTGATGGTTGGGTTGGGTTGAGTTGGGTTGAGTTGACTTTGAAGAGGGTCCTGGGGTTGAAAACGCCTCCGGGAGAGGAAGGAGGACGTTGCGGGCCAAAAGCGCCTTTCGGAGTTGTTAATGCGCTGCGGAAAGTCAAGGAGGCTTCCATCTCCAAAGAGGAAACTGAGGCCGAGGAAGAGGAGGAGGCGCAACTTGTCCGGAGGGGGGGGGGCATCCAGGCGCTTCCTAGGGGAACCCACAAAATGCAAGCCATCTGCAGCTTCGCAAAAAAGAGGGCTGGGGGTGGGAATCATATAGTGGAGGGAGTGGGCTGTGTAAAGTCCCAGCTTGCCAAAAATATGCGCATCCAGTATTTGGGGGTTTGTTTGTTTTTTAGCCAACTTAAGTTTAGGAAGTGTTTCCCCCCCCCCAATTAAACAGCGAGGATGAACCATCAGTGCAAATGTAGCTGGGTCTGCAAAGCGGAGGGAGGGGGGGGCTCTGTCCTTCAATAATTCCTAGTCCATTTAAGCAGCCATCTATCTCCACCGCAGTAGAACCGACCCACCTTCCCCTCTGTTGGGGTCTCTCGGCAAAAGTTGCCCCAAGAAAATCAGAGTGGGGGGTGCGTAGAGGTCGCCATTCGTCCAGACACATGTATTGGGGGGTTGGGGGTGTGTGGAGGAAATATTATTTGCATCAACAGGGTGCCACCTGCCGTCCAGCCTGAATGCCTTCCTCCTGCTGCAAATCTGTCCTTGGATCTCCTTGCTCAGTTTATTCCCACCTTTTCTTTTTTTATTATTGAAGAGTGGTNCAACTCCTAGAATTCCCCAGCCAGCGAATGCTGGCTGGGGAATTCTGGGAGTTGAAATCCGGACATCTTCAAGTTGCCAAGGTTGAGAAACACTGGCATACATTATTAACTCCAATATGAAAAAGATGCTATGTTGATTCAAACTGAAAACCCAGGGAATTTCAAAACGGACAGCTATTCTATGTATAACCTGTGATGAGGATATGATTGATTTGAGTAATATAAAAGCTTCACTTATTAGACCCAACTGACATAATAAATATGTCTTGGGTATTTCTGTTGTCTATTGGTTTATAACTTGTCTTCTAATTTCTTCAAACATCCCAATCTCTTTCGTAAGAAGAGAAAAATGACATCTACTCTTAACTCAACATTGCCATGTTTTTTTAGCGTTCCCTAATTTTTTTTGAGGAGGAAATGGGTGTTATAGTTGATTATAAAATCCAAGTAAATCACCTTTGTATCGCTTTCTCTGCCTCTGTTTCTAATTTGATTCTAATATAATTCATTTTATCATGCAGACTTTCTACTTGCGCACTGAATCTAACAACTAAAGTTTAATATGATCATCCAAGATGATAACATGTCATAGTTATGACAATATTTATCTGTACAAATACGTTTAGTTTATATTGTAACGGGTGGGAAAAGGTACCATTATTTTCAAACAATTGTTCCTTCCTGAATCCACATACTTCTAAATTAAATCAGGTAGCCCCTTATCTGGCTAAAAAAAATTATTATTCAGAAAAAGTAACATTAGACTCATGTTTAGACACATAGACAAACACAGCTCTCTACCCACAATGTAGAATTCAAATATTCAAAAAACTATCACAACAAATAATCAAAGAACTAAATAAAGGAAAGGCACCTGAACATTAGTCAAATAACATCATACTAAAAATAAATGAAAATGTTATATGTTTGCTATCCCAGACATATTTCCAAATTTCTTTACTTGCATAAGCTGTTTTAATATAAGCTTAACTGCTTAAGCTGCTCTTATAAAGAACATTTATTCGCGCACTTAATAAGGACTCCAAACTTAGGAAAAGTTCACCAACAGTTGGAAGTACTGTGAAATATATTTTTTGCAGAATCCCATATTTGTGTAAGCGAAAATCTGAAATCCATCCCAAACATTAAGGCAGTGTTTCTCAACCTTGGCAACTTGAAGACGTCTGGACTTCAACTCCCAGAATTCCCCAACCTTGGCAACTTGAAGACGTCTTCAAGTTGCCAAGGTTGNAAGCACATCAACAGAACACATAAACACATTAACCAAAATAACCATATAACTTAAAAACAACATAGGAACAATAAGTTCCATCGTATATCATTATTGAAGAGTTTCAATAGATTTTACAAATGTTTTCCCTTCCCTCCCTCCGCCCCAACCTCCCCCCAACCTCCCAGAGCAAAATACACGGTATACACATTTAACAATCATACACTAACATAAGCTAACTAACTTTAGCATCCTACCTCCCTCTTGTCCTTTAACTACCCTTTTATTAAGCTAACTTTAGATAAATTGTTACATTCCTTGTCTAGGGTTTCCTGCCTGAGCAGAGGGTTGGACTAGAAGACCTCCAAGGTCCCTTCCAACTCTGTTATTCTGTTATTAATAAAATCATGTCCTCCCCCCAGCTCAAAAAAGCATCACAGAACTAAATTATGGAGTTTGTTGACTAGCATTGTTTCCCTCTACAAAAATGCGTAGAGATAATCTCAGCGATGGTTATGTCGCTATGGAGCAGAGCAGAGAAAAATTGAATATAAAACAAGGAAGTCTTCTTTTCGATAAATGATACCGCCTCAATGGAAACATTTTTGGCCACCCGGAAACAACAAAAATCATGCCATCAGCACTTCCAGGTACCCTTTTGAGTTTGTTGCAATGGAATTGTTGCAACGGAAGGATGAGATACCAGAAATGTGTGTGTCAGAAGATGGTTGGAGGTTAATCTCTTCGGCAATTTTGATAAACAGACTAAAAAAAAAATATGTCTTGAAAGTAGAGACTGCAGCAGCCGTGTGTCTTGGAAAGCTTATCTGGAATGGAAAAGTTGACTTGGCATTATGGGGTGTTTTTTATTTTGTAGAGTAATGAAATGACATCCTAATGAAATAACCGCCTTTGGAAGACTCGAACGAGTAGCAATGGGCGTCTTCCAAAACACGAGGCCAAAAAAAATGTCTACGGAGATTCTCCGTCATCCAACGTCATCCAACGTTGTGCTTTTTCCAGAGGGCAAATTGTGTTTTGTTTTTTTCCCCTCAAGGAAGAAGCTTTTTCTTAAGAAAGAATTTTTTTTTCCTTGAGAAAAGAAACATTTTCTTCTTCCTCAAGCAAAAAATAAATAAAATAGCTCAGTTGCTCTTTGGGGGAGAAAAAAGAAACATATTTGAAATGAGGGCAAAAGAAACTCCTTGTCAGATGTTCCCATGACAGGACAATCCTCTAATTAATATGATTCTGGAGGTAAAGATAAAGGCTCCCCTTGCACATATGTCCTAGTCGTTCCCGACTCTAGGGGGCGGTGCTCATCTCCGTTTCAAAGCCAAAGAGCCAGCGCTGTCCGAAGACGTCTCCGTGGTCATGTGCCCAGCATGTCTAAATGCCGAAGGCGCACGGAACGTTGTTACCTTCCCACCAAAGGTGGTTCCTATTTTTCTACTTGCATTTTTTATGTGCTTACAAACTGCTAGGTTGGCAGAAGCTGGGACAAATCATGGGAGCTCAGTCCGTTACTCAGCACTAGAGATTCGAACCACCAAACTGCCGACCTTTCTGATCGACAAGCTCAGCGTCTTAGCCACTGATTCTTATTCTCTAAATTACTCATGTCTGAACGGGAGATTCTGTGCTGTGAAAAGTAATTTGAAGGGCAGGTATGAAGAGATAAGCACAACTAATATTTGCCTTCAGTTGCTTTCTTCATTTTGCTGGTGCTGATCCACTTGAGTTTGCAACAAGATACCAAATGTGGATAAAGTTACAGAGATAAGGCTCTTTATGAGAGAGGGGGAAAATAACCAGAAGAATAGTCCTCTAGGTGTGATTGGTTCCAGCAACAATGAGCAACTTTGGTCTGGGGTGATTGCTTCCCAAGCATTGGCTTGTGGGGAGGGAAGTTCAACAACATCTGAAGACCACAACTCAGTCTGTTACATGGCACTTTACGTTACGCAAAGCTAGGGATTCGAACCGCTGAACTGCTGAGCTTTCCGGCAAACTCAGCCTCTTAGCCACTGAGCCAATTGCAGAGAAAAGAGAGGAAATAGGAGGGGGAATGAATGAATGAATCAATCAATTAATCAATGATTTGATTTACTTTGCCAATGACCAGAAAAGACAAAGAACAAAAACAGAGTGAAACAAATAAATACAATAATATACTAACAAGTAGTAGAAAATGTAACTTTCATGCCTTTGTTACTGCATTAACACGGTGTGATAAATGTAAAACATTAATAGGCATGTTAGGAAAAAAAACCTATATATTCCCTACAAGCTTTTAGTTAAGGTATATCAAACCAGAAGTGACATTTAAAAAAGTGTAAATATGTCCTTAACCGATTATATCTTGCTTTCGTCACAGAAACAAGAACAACAAAAAAAATTAAGGTGCACCTTATTTATAACAATAACAGAGACAGGAAATGCATAAATAAATAAAATACAAGCTCACTTTCCCTGTTTAGGTCTTTAGATCTTTAAAGTGTTAAGTCAGGGTTCGAGTTTTACCATCCTTCAGCCTTAAACAAACCAACAACTAAACACAATGTGAAAAAAAACTAGACCATATTATCAAAATCCTTCCCTTTCATGGCAAAATTCTGGGATTTGTGCTTTGAACGTGGTAGGTTTTCCTGCGCCAATAAATGTTATCTTTATATTTGCCAGTGTTTTGATAACATTTCGTTGGTTTTTTTAACGTTTCGTTTGCTTTTTAAATGAAATGTCCACTCCCCCTTTCAGATACGAGAATCCAAAGTTCTTCGGTAGAAAGTGATCCTGAGACTTCTATGTCCATCTTGAGAGCTTTTCGTGGTCCTCCTTTTTGAGAATGGATATTGTCTGTAATTATTTCTGAGTCCGGTTTAAACCAGAATCAAAACCAGGACAGAATTATCAGAGGGTGAAAGTTAGTTGGGATGCTTTAAAACTCCAAAATGGCCAACATGACTCCCAAGCGTTGATGGACACGCTTCTGTTCTTCTTCTTGTGAGTTAAAACAGAATATATTCAATTATTTTCATATCATAAGTGTTTCCGGCATTGATGAAGCTTCAGGCAAGGGTCAATGACCTCAAGAGTTGGAGAAGGTCTCTTCTAGAAAGAGATGAGACCTCTGGGGATGGCTGTTCATCCAGAACAATCCACGGAACCCTTTTTCTCCAGAATTACAATCAAAAGGGGAGAATGGCATTAAGATAATCATTTGCCAGCTTTCCAGAGAAGTCATCTTGGACTACATAAGCTTCTCTGGATGAAATATAGAGTCAGCATGTAGCAGCTGAGGGCACCATAATAAGGCTGGAATAGATGGACCTTCGGACTTACACCCAGGTGTTTCTCAATGTTCTTCTTGTCCTCTGTTCAGAGAAATGATATCTAAGGAGGCCTCTGCATTGTGATTGTGTTCCTCCTCTCTTTGAAGAAGGGAGGAGGAGAAGAAAGAAAGAAGGCGACAACTGTGAGAAAGAGAGCAAAGAATTCATCACAGAGGACCCCTAGGAGGGGCTTTCTGACAGGGCCTCCAGAAATAAGGGTCAAAGGATGGTTTTGTTTAATTGTTGTTATGGAAGAGGAGGGTTAACACACACACACGCACACACACACACACACACACACACACTTCCACTCAGAGTGTGAGATGCAGTTTGTTCCTCAGGAAGTTGTGGGCTGGCACGCACTGTGCAGAGCCAGACCCAAATTTCATGGTAGTTGCACGAGGACTTTGGGAGGTGCAGATATAGCATATGGAGGAAGCAGGGCAGCCGTATTCTCCCTCAAATATGCCACCGGCTGAACCAGCGTCAAGGGGCACCATGAAGATTCTCTTGAGCGTGATCACGATCTTCGTTATTGCTCAACTGGGCACCGTCCTCTATATTTTGCACCTTCACATCAAGCTAGACAAGGTAAGCCCGGTTTCTTGATAGAGAAGATGTCAACGTTGGGTTTCCATGGGTGGGAAGGCAACTACAGAGGACAACAGGTTGAATTCATGTAGTATCAAACGTTCTGCTTTCTAATGCGATGGTTGGCATGTTAATTGTTGGAGGGGGGGGAACCAAATGTCAGTTCCCATCTAGCAATAGAAGGGTGTTTAATGATTGTAGACTGGTCCTACTCTTCCAGGTTCCACATTAATCTCTTGAGAGTCGTGGGAACACGTGGGAAGATAGTGTCCTGTGTCTGTTGTCTTAGCTCCTGGAGGAAAGATAGGTGTAAATCTAACACATGGATGGATGGATGGATGGATGGATGGATGGATGGATGGGTGGGTCACTCTTGATTATTCTCATTCCATTGAATGGAAGGAAGAGAAAGTGCTTTCAAAGAAGTTTCAAAGGAGAACATTTCCAGGTTGTGCTGTGAGGTTCTTAACTACCAGGAAGGTCTACCTGGGGGGTGGTGGTGTTTGTCTTTCATCCTTTCTCCATCCATCTCCACACACACACCAGCTTCCCACTTATCCCTTCATTCCTAAAAGAAATTCCTTGGGAGTTTGTTCCTCCCAGAGAGCTTGTTCATTCAAGAAAGGGGGGGGGGGCAGCCAGGGAGCCTTCACAAGGATGGGAAGAGATGGAGTTGGAAATAGCTTCACCCCGTCTGCAGCCTCCTTGGCTTCTCCTG